CCTTCTCCAGATCCCTCATGATACCATTCTTTTCACCCTCAAAGAGTGTTCCATCACTGGAACTGCCAATGGACAGCAAGCGCTCATGCGACGGCCATACCGTCTCCGGTCTAGGCTTCACAACCGCCTGCTGCACATCATTCCTACCCTCAGCGATCTTGTACAAGGCTCTCTTGTCAATCTTTCCATTCGGCGTGAGTTCCAGAACAGGAAGATGTTTCCAGATTGTGGGGACAGCGTAGAAGGGCTGGGTCTTGCCCACGGTTTGTTTCAGCTCCGTTTCAGCGATCGGGATGTGGGATGAGTAGAAGCCCCACAAAGAATTGTCGATCTTGAGGGCGCAGCCTTTGATGACGCCGGGGTTTGATTCGATAGAGCGAGATACACCGTCGAGCTCGACGCGGAAGCCTTGGATCTTGACTTGGTCGTCTTTTCGGCCGAGGGGGAGGAGGCTGCCGTCCTCGAGCCATTGGGCTAAATCACCAGTGTTGAACATCATGTTGCTACTCATGTTAGTGTTGCTCGGTATTAGTGACAGTGTTGAGAGCTTACCCATCGTTGGTGAACTTGTCTAGCTTATAGCGAGTTGCTGTAAGTTCGGGTAGATTGATGTAGCCTCGAGAGACACCTGGGCCTCCAGCCCACATAACACCAGGCTGTCCAATTAGCACGGGGTTCTCGTTTTCATCCAAAATGTAAACATTCGTGTTGGGGTTAGGCTTGCCAATTGACAGCGGAATGCCTGGCTGGTGAAGATGTGCTGTGTTGAGCATGCTGATCTCCGTTGGTCCGCAGACGTTCCAGAAGTTGACATGGGGAGCCCACTTCTCGGCGAGTGCCAAAGGACAAGGCTCGCCGCCGACAGCGATTGTATCGACATTGGGAAAGTCTTCGATTCGTGGCATGTACTTTTGGACGACCGATGGGGTAGCGATGATGGTGTCGCATCGTTGGAGACACTCGGTCCAGGGCTCGAGGCCGCTGCCTCTGATGTGAAGGGTTCCGCCGTTCATCATTGTACCCAAGATCTCCCAGGCACCTGTTGATGAGAATGGTTAGTTAGGTCAATTACCACAGTCAGATCTCACTTACACATATCGAATGCAACATTCAGCTGCTGTGCCACGTTCCTGCCAGGTCTAATGCCCAACTTGGATGGCTCTGCCAAAAGGGTATTGGTGACACCTCGATGTCTCACGTCCACACCCTTAGGTCGGCCTGTCGTACCCGAAGTGTAGATGACATATGCACCATCATCTGGACCGACCTCCACCATTGGGTGTGAAGGGTTGCCTCTGCGCCAGAGATCTGAGTGGCTGTCCAGATCGAGAACATTGACAATGTTCCGTCGATCATCTGGAATGCTGCGAACAACCTTGTCAAAGAACTTGGGGAGACAGAGAACAACTGGAGCGTCGGAATCGGCAATGTCAAAGCCCAGTGTGTCGTCAGTGACGATGCCACCATCCAATGGCACGTACTGTCCACCTGCTTTGAGAACGGCGAGGATGAAGACGACCATCTCAATGCAACGCGAGTACACCAACACAACACGATCGCCAACCCTCAAGCCAAAAGTATGTATCAGCTCGTTGGCCAACATGTTTGCCCTTCGGTTGAGCTCTCGATATGTGATGGTGCTCCCGTCATAATGTCGAACCGCAATGAGATCAGGGTGCGCCAGCGCAACTGCCTCAAAAGCGTGATGGGCAACATTATACGGGATAGGACACTCAGGTCCCTTGCTGAATCGGTTGAATAACACTCTATCCGCCAGGGAGAGGCTCTCAAGGGAGCTGAAAGAATAGGAAGAAGACATTATGGGACGCTTTGGGCATAGAACGTCTGACCACCAACGCCGTCAAGGCTGCGTCATGGCGATCTCCTTAAGTATTTGTAACCTGCAAAGAAAAATGCAATTGGAAAGAACGGAGAATCTTAACAGCACAGGATATTGACTAAATTTCCGCTTCTGGTTTCGGAACAAGAAACGTATACGACAATCAAGTGTATCCGGCAGCTCGAGTCGATTCTTGGCAGCATAAAACCCTGAGCGTCTTTAGCATGTGGATTCGGCCGAATAAGGTTGCATTAGTGAGATCTTTTGGCTCAGATGCATAACGCTCCGTTGGGAATTCTACTCTTTACGGAAGCTGATCCGCCGCAGTGACCAAGGCAGATGAAGGCAGGTCCCTGTACATCAGAGGCGCAACGATCAGGGTTTAGTACGAGATTCCCAAAACGAAACGGAGATCGTTCTGTTTTACGTAGTAAATGGCGAGCTTGACAGGGCAATACTACAGCAGAATAGGCTTGCCGTTCGGAGTGGGGAAGGGAATCTGCAAGGGGCCCTGAAACTCGTCACGTTTTGTGGTCTTTGACGGCTTTCGTCAGTGCTTCTTTTCTGTTGTTTAGGGAAGCTGGTTAGTTGGGATAACCTTACAAAGAGAATTGTAATCAAAGTGGGATAACGAAAAGAGTAACAGAACCGTTGAGGCGACGTGCAGATCTTCAATTGACCTGCCCCAAATGCCGAAACGACCGTTCCGGAATCTGTGACGAGACCAAAAACTCCACAAGGTCGAAACTGGAGATTCTTTACGACTTCAGCACGATGGATCAAGGGACAGATTGTCAATGCGCTTGACGAGACCCTCGTGTATGATGACAGACTTAAACAATTGACCTCGCTCATCTTCCGGATGCGAATTGCTTCTTTTCCATCGTAACCAAGATTTGACCAAACTTCCTCGACAACGACCGTTTCAGAGACACGTCACAATGGAGAACCTCCAGGATATCAAGCTCTCGACCAACAGTGATACTGGCGTCGCACTCATCCAGTTCAACAGACCAGCCAAACGCAATGCCTTTTCACAGAATACGATAAACGAAATAGTCGCCACTCTGGACCATCTAGACTCAGTGGATACCGTGCGCGCAGTGGTTTTGACTGGTGGACCTGAAGGACACTTCTGCGGTACGTTGAGAGTTTCTCCATCGGAAGAATAGAGATGAAGAAGAATTGTTCTGATAATGCGGCTGCTAATTGAGTTTCGGGAGCAGCTGGGATGGATTTAAACGAGTTGGTGGAGCTGTCGACTCCCAAAGCCCATAAAATTGAGTTTCTCAAGGATTTGACGGATGCGCTAGCGAGGTTTTCCAAGCCTCTTATTGCTGCTGTTGTTGGCTTCGCTGTAGGTGATCTACTGATCGCCACTCAGAGTTTGGGCTAATGAGATACAGTTGGGCGGTGGTTTCGAGATTGCTCTCGCTGTAAGTCGGGAATATCACTCCTCACGCATGATCCAAGCTAACGAATCGTCTAGTGCGACATCATCTACGCTGCTGAAGATGCCATTTTCGGCCTTCCAGAGGTCAAGATCGGTACCATCCCCGGCGCAGGCGGTACACAGCGCCTGGCTCGTGCCCTAGGAAAACACAAGGTATGTCACCATCAAACCAGCCCCAAACCCTAGTAACAATCACTGACTACCGTTTCCAGGCAATGGAGTTCGTCCTAACGGGCGAGCCAGCAAGTGGAGCTGAGTTTGAGCGACTGGGCGTTGTAACAAAGGTCTTCCCCAAGCCAGACGTTGTCCAAGCAGCGACGGCGCTGGCTGAGAAGATTGCGCGTCTGTCGGCTCCGGTTATCAAAACGGCCAAGAAAGCTGTTTTGACTGGTGAGTTTGGCCAATCAAAGTGTCCGGCCTTGTCCGTTGGTGACTAACCCCCTGTCGTAGTGGAAAATTCGACCCTGGATGCTGGGATGACACATGAAAAGGCGCTGTATTATTCGACGTTTGGGCTGGATGATTTCAAGGAGGGGATCCAGTCATTCCTCCAGAAGCGACAGCCTAACTTCAAGCATTCTTAGGTATCTTAGTGTAAACTGAACATACATCAGTGTGATAAACTTCCTAGTCATGTTAATAATGGCAAATTACTCCGTACCTCGCCCATGTCAATGACTGATGCAATTGCTATTCTTATCCCAAAAAACCGTTTAAATTACTCAGGGGCCCAACCTTAGGGTCTCACAGCTGAGGCCCACTTGTGGATAGCCTCCTTTCCCCTGCCTTAGCAAAACCCACCATCAAATACCGCTAGGTTAGATCCCCGAAGATGTCGGTTCCGCGACGATTAGGCGACTGAGCTGTCACTCATTGCCACGGAAATACGTACATCCTTGGCTCACGCAATACCGTTGGCATGAGCCGAAAGCTGAAACTTGGCGTTGTGAAACAAGGCGTCGTAAAACATGTTAGGGCCTTGTTTGGCTTATCAGACATGAGCATTGGCCCCGTTGGGCTGGAACATGATGGAGGTGCAGTTGCATGTCGGACTTTGCCTTCATTGTGTAGATTAATCGAGGAAGCTTCTAGCAGCCATAGCTCCGACCTTTCGATATCTTCTAGCCACAAAATCCCACAAGCATCTAATGTCGTTTTGTTGTTCAATACAAGTCCATGGCCCGTCCACATGGAGTTGGAAAGCTTCTAACATTGCGTCAGAGTGTCTAGAAAACTATACCCCAAGTTTCACTAAATCTAGTAAAATATATGTTAATTTCGCCCCAGTTCTGTTAGTGTTCAAGATAGATCTACCACAAGTCTTCTTGTTTTAGAGCCCATGAAGTGCTTTGCAGCAAAGGTTCCTAAGAAGCAAAGGCCGAGCTTAAACACGGGAAAGTTGAGTTCCAGTCAATACTTAATGCAGAAATTCTTTTGAGACACAAGCTTATTTTGGGAAGGGCACGTTAAGAGTTTCTGTCTATATTTTGAGCTGAAATATCTATTAGTCAGTAGCTCAGCGATCCGACTCAATCCGAGTCAGACCCAGTACCCTTCTATGATCAAGCGGAAGATTTGAAGTAAATACAAGTAGGGAACAACCAATAATAGATTCGCCGCCAGAAGGCGATAGTTCCCATGAATCAGAAATCCATGCTGAACATGCCGTGGGCCCAATCCTCGTCGGGGTCTTCTGAATCAAATCTTTCAGTAAACAGCCATTCCAGTCCAAGGGGCACGGTTTCCAAGCCCGCTCAGGTCGATCACTTTTGGATCATATGAATTATGCTGCAGGTCAAAAACAGCAATCGCTGGAGCAGCCTGCAGAACATAGAGCTTGGAGCCACTAATAATGGCATCGAAGTTGCCCTTACCAGCAGTATATCCAGGGAGAGTACGTCCGATAGCCATATTCTTTGTGTTGAGGGCAGTGACGTCGGGAACAGCAGCATCGAGTAGATAGACAGAACTAGAGCCAGCGGAAGTAGCGGTCCAGCAAGTGGCCATTTGTTTTGGGACAGTGATATTGGTCTTGGTGAGTACAGTGAGATCATGGGTGATGGACACGAATGCTGCACCATAAGCGGGCGTGGAAACAACAGCTGAGGCGTCTGAAATAAAGCTCATTCCAAAAGCAACTGGTAAGTTATTGGGCTGTGACTTGACGGCTTCCTCGCTCACACGGCCATCCTCGACTTTGTAAGCATAAACGAAACCATTCTCCATACCGTTGCCCTTGATGGTGACGAACAGGGCCGTCTCAGAAGGGTTGAAGAGAATGTTGGAAACAGTGTTCGGAGGTCCGGTTGGAGGGGATGTCTGGCCAAAGACAGGAAGAGGCTTGAGACTGCCCTGGGGCTTCAAGCCATCGCAGTCCGAGACCGTGAAGCACTGGACGCCCGGCTTGGTTCCAGTATTGGCGACGCAAGCAATCTTGTTCTTGCGAGAATAGGCAACTGTGTTGGGAACTGTGCCGACAGTATCGACAGGCTCTCCGAGAAGAACTGGGCGAGCTGGGTTCTCCTTTGGGATATGGAAAGCGGCCAAAGTGTTGGAGCCGGCATTGACGGTGAACAAGCGGTTTCCGCTCACGACAATGGAACCTTGAGAGAACAGGGGATCTGGCCTTGTTGTCAGCGACTTTGTCGGGGCTGATATAGTCTCACTTACCCATCGTGACAGTGCCATTCACGTTGCTACTGATAAGACCCCTTCCACCGGTAGAGGTCCTACGTGGCTGACCGAACGAGCCATCCTCGGCAATGCTGATTGAGACAACAGAGGCACCCTGGGGGTCGCTGTCGAGGAAATACAATGCCCGGTCTGACTTGTGAGGCTTCGGATGGGCGTGGGTGAGTGAGGCTGTAACAAGAAGCGCGTTGATGAACTTCATCGTCAATTTTGGAGTGTCAAAAGGAGAGTTACAAGTGAAAACTGAAGGCAACTGTGAGTAGTTTGATACTTGAGATATCTTTATTGAGACTGGTAACCGCATGTCTATATATGTTTCGACTCGGCATCTCAGATCCGAAACATCTACCCTACCTTCACTCGTAAATTGAATGGGTTAAGCCAAAAGCAATACCTAGGTGCCGAACGGACCAGACGGATGAGGGTTATGTATAGCAAGAGCCAATAGAACATGGAAACCACGATATTAACTGGGAATTCACCGTCATGATTGAAACGACGACCCATTTCGAATAAGCTCAGCTATGGAACTTTACTCAGACACCATGCCAAATCGAGGTCATCTGTTGAGTCAACAGTAAGTGCTGACAGTCAAAGGATTCGTCAGCTGCACTAGAGGTCAAAGAGGGATGAAATAGTGAGAGAAACTCAGCGAGCATCCTCCTAAAGACGAAGACGGTTTGATTTAATATAACGGGGCCGTGGACCCGCCAGTGATGCTCGAGCCATTCAGATGCATAGAGTGCGATCCCACGATAGTGTGAGCGGGTTGTTAGTGCTGTGCCCAGCACGCACTATGCCTTTTGTGGAAATGTTGATTAGATGTCTGTTTTCCCAAAGCAGGGAGCTAATTTGACGTCAATCACACCTGAAGTCCTCGAACATCATTCGCCTGGACTAGCTCATATTCAGCAAAGGGTGGCAGCCAGAGGCAAGTGTTGCTCATCTTAGTGCTACATCGTTAATTAATCCTGTTGAATGTTGATTGGATTGACCTACAGCACCAAACACGACGACAACAGTTGTGGATATGGCGGATAGCTGCAGGGTAGGCAGCGCCCGAAGCTTGGACGGGAGCTGTGACTTGTGCTAGGGGAGACCCTTCGGACCTATAGCCTGAAGATTGAAATATTGAGGCAAATCATTATAAGCTTAGGGGCCTCTTTGATGAGTTTGTTCCCTAAATGATGAAGATATCAAGGTAAATCATCATAAGCTTAGCGGACTCTTCGATCAAGTTGTTTTTCCAGGAAGCCTCGATAGCGTGATACATTGCCTAACTCCTTAGTTCACTTTTTGTGTTAGCGTCAGCAACCAGAAACAAAGCTCTTTATCCCCTCTTATCATGATCAGCCCGGTGATCAGAGCTGCCAATCACAGCCTGATCTGCCCTCTATTGAAGTTACACATAAGAAATGCCCCGAAGTTCCTTGTTAGAAGCTCCCACGATTTTCGGAGCCGGCGAAGCGCGTTAAGATATTTGTCAACTATGCGACTTATCAACGTCGAAACTCTCGAGTTAGAGTCTTTCACAGGGGAACATGGAGCCTCAATACCAACATATGCAATCCTATCTCACGTATGGACGTCTGAGGAAGTGTCGCTACAGCAAATGAGTGGACTGAGCCCTCTTCCAGAAGAGTCAAAAGGCTACAGTAAGATCGTTGACTTTTGTGCCAAGGCGAAAGCTGAGGGATTTGAGTACGGCTGGATCGACACCTGTTGCATAGACAAGACGTCTAGCGCAGAGCTATCAGAGGCGATTAACTCAATGTTCCAGTGGTATCGGAAGTCTGCAGCGTGCTATGTCTTTCTGAATGATGTCAGCTCCACCGAGAACCCAAGATTATCAGGCTCGAGATTCCGCAAGAGTCGATGGTTCACACGCGGATGGACTCTCCAGGAGCTCCTTGCGCCGCACGAAGTGATCTTTCTCGCTGACGACTGGCGTGAGATTGGTACCAAGGCCAGTCTAAGCGCCACTGTCTCAGATGTCACCAAGATTGATGTAGCTACTTTGGTGAAGCAAACCTGGTCACATGTTAGCATCGCTGGGATCATGTCCTGGGCATCAATGCGGCAAACCACGAGATTAGAGGATCACGCCTACTCCCTCATGGGTCTATTCGATGTCAATATGCCCTTGATCTACGGCGAAGGCCCCAAAGCTTTCTATCGGCTCCAGGTCGAGATTATGAAGGCAACAAACGATGACTCTTTATTCGCTTGGTCCACAGAACCCCTCGAAGATTGCGGATACTCCCCAAATGAGGGAGCATCAACGAGAGGTTTCCGATTTCTCGGGTTACTAGCTCCATCGCCGGCTTGTTTCAGAGACTCTCATGACATAAGGGCGCCTCGAGACATTTCCCGAAGTCACGTGCCGCAATACGACTTGATCAAGCAGGATATCAGTCTTTCGGCGGTGATAGTTCGGCTTTGCTCTCTACCAGCTGACCCTAAGCAACTTGGAGATATCGACCGGGTCGATGTTGTCGGCACACTGCGGTTCTCGAATAACGTAAGGGCAGTGGACCATGGACTCGTTATCACGCCCGCAAGACGAGACGCAAAGGGGATCAAGATAATGTGCTTGGTTGCGGTTCTACGATGTTGGAATAAAGACGGCTACATTGGCATCCCTATCAAGCGTTTGGCATCTGGCGCTTATCAGAGGGTCGAAAATGGACACAGATGTCGTTGGTTCAAGGTTCGCTTGATGCCTTTACGACTGACACTGAAAAGCGAAGAAGAAAGAGCTCCAGATGAATCAGAATACACTCTCAGACAATTTGATTCTGAGAGTAGGGAGAAAGGGCCACCTGCTGATCCTCCGGAAACCATTCTCGTGAGGGCCTATGTACCATTAGACTTGCCATCGAACGGCACATACGCTTCTGCTCAGACCAGCCGCCACCGTGCACCACTTCAGTTCCGCTCACTGCCTATCAATAATGGCTATTACAAGCTACACGCTGACACTGCTGATAACTCTGTAACACTAATGCCCGAGTTGCGGTCCCATCCTCATATCATCGAGAGTATCAATGGACGCATCAATACTCTACCTGAAACGAGCATCGTGTTTTGCCCAATTGCAGAAGATAGCGGTCTTCCAACTTTCACGATACACACTAGAATGATAGAAAGGCCTCATGGCATCCAAGTTGGGTGCATGGTTGGAAGTGACCAAGACCGAGATGAGATGATGGATGCTGAGTTCACCGACATTGACATGAAAACCATCTCCACCACGATATCTCTCACAGCGAACCTGTCCCTCGTGTTCAGAGTGAGACGGGGTGTTCCCCAGGATACGACTTATTACTTGAATGTGAGCATTGAGGAGCAGTTGCCTTGGGCAGAAGATGTAGAACATTGGCCAACTACGCTTGGAGACAAGAGCCTGTCAAGCTCAGAGATGTCGCTCAATCGTACCTTCACAGACAATTCAATATGAGAGGCTGCCAATGACCATAACTGCTGGTACTGGGCTCTCAACGATGTGTTGGACGTCGTTGTGAGCTCGTCATACATGAATTCCAAGGAGGGCCACGGGCAGTTAGAAAACTTGAGACTTGAAATGATTATGCCAAACAAAGTTCGAAAAGTATTCCCTAAGCTTAGGCTATATTGCCTAACTATCTTCATTGCTTAGGATGAAGATCCTAAGGTTTCTTGCATCCCTTAGGCGTAGCAACATTACTGCTTGGTGGCTTTTTATCATATTTCTGAGGCACGCAAACGTGAAGTAGAAAAGATAGAATTATACTACATGACATCATTAGTCTCGTGAATGTCTTTGCTGAACGCAGCTCATAGAGCCTTCAAATCTAAATACATGCCATTCTCTGGCTTGATCGTAATCACTCCCCTTGGCATCACAAGTTTATCATCCATAGACAACGTCCACTCAAACGACCTGACCATAGTAGCCAACAAGCATCGCAACTCTGCCTTGGCAAACCCTTGTCCGATGCAACTTCTTGGTCCATGCAAGAAGGTGAGGAAGTTGTAGTTGCTGCTGGCTCCGCCATTCTGATTTGGCTTCCCGTCATCTGTGATCCATCGTTCAGGCCTGAACTCTGTCGCGTCAGGGCCCCAAATAGCTTCTGATCGGTTGATATACCAAATTGACACCATAATATCTGTGCCTTCAGGGATGAACTGGTCACCAATACGGGTGTCGCGGATGGCTTGGCGCATCGTCAGTGGAACAGTTGGGTAGAGTCGGAGTGTCTCGTGCATGATGCCGTTCAGGTAGGGAAGCTGCTCGAGGATACCAGCGAGGTCGACTGTCGGGCTGGTGGCTAGATCCTCTGGCACACCGTTTCTGACCTCCTCTCTGAGCTTGGCTTGGTATTCTGGATGCTTGGTGAGTAAGTAGCACGCCCAGGTTATCGCGGATGAGGTAGTCTCATGCCTATACAAGATCAGCTATGTCCTGATTGATGGTGGCCATGCATCACTTACCCTGCTGCCAAGAAGGTCAGAAGCTGGTCTTTCAAAGCCTCATCCGAAAAGTTGCCCGACTTGATGAGAAGCGACAAGACATCGAAGTGGTCATCCCCCTTCTCGAGAATGGCTGTCTTCTTTTCCTGGATCATGGGGTAACAAAGCTCATTCAACGTTCCGGTCAGATAGTTGAAGACTTCGTTCATCTTCCAAGGAAGGAGACGAACAAATGGCAAACCAACGGCCAGTGCCAAGCCAGAAAAGATGAGCTTCTCTCGACTCGGCTCGAGCAAGCCTTCGTAGATGTCCGCGAGCGGATCCTTCTTCTTCTCAACGGCATCAAATCTGCGACCCAGACCAGCAATGCCAATGATGTCGAGTGTGACCTTGCTCGCCCAACTGTTGAGCTCGACAACTGATGACCTCGACGTGGTCATGTCCTGTTGTATTGCCCGAGCCAGCGACTGGCTCTTCTCCCACATCATGGGGTACAGCTCCTTAATGTGTCGGAAATGGAAGACTGGTGTTGAGTTCTTGCGTAGAAACTTGTGAGGCTCGCCTTCAACGATGATGAGACCATCGCCGAGAATATGTCGTAGGAAGGCGCTGATTCTCTTCGGTTTGGTGAAGTCGTAACAGTTGTGAACGAGAAGGTCAGCTAGAAGTAGAGGGTTCGTCACAAGGATGTGAGTTCTGAATGAGTTGAGAGTAAGTAGGTCTTCACCGGGATATCGATTCGCTATATCT